CAATAGATTTTGAGTATACAGGCTACTTAGTGGACTCTGACAAATCACACTTTTGACATTTCTGTTTTTCAAACTTACTGTACCAGGTAAAAGGACCTAGGTCACAAGGCCTTATATTTGGGGGCAGAGGGGTGGTATCTAATCATAGTGTGTTTTTTACTTTATGACAGCTGCAAATTAGTTGTCATTTCAGCAGCAACTCCTGTAGAATGTTTTTCAAGACACAGAATTAACTGAATCCACTCATGGAAGTGTGCTTGGTGAATAACTCCTGAACACAATTTACTCCCTAATTCATGGTTCTGCTTTTCATGGATTGCCTCCCTTCCAGTGCAATATATGCCATCACCTGCCATCAATGTCCTTCTGCAGCCTATGTACGACAAACAGGACAGTGTCTATGCAGAATAGCATATAGACACAACACTGGCATCAGAAATGACAATATCCAGAAGCCAGTAGGAGACCATTTCAACTTACCAGGACACCCTGCAGCTGACCTTACAGTGGTCCTCTTTCAACCAAAGAACTTCAAATGGAAACTCCAGCATGATGCTACTGATTTACAGTTTCTCAGGTAATTCAGCCCTGTCTATGTATGGCTTGAATCAAGATTGAGGATTTTTATCAAGCTACATGGCTTATTTAACTTGGTGATCATGTCAGTGCCAAAATGGATCCAGCCAATGTGACAGATCCTTATCTCTACCCCACCTATCCACACACCAAGTTTGACAAATGAGTGGGGACACCAACTTGCCAATCGCCACTTAGACATTTTATTACTACCAAGCCATTCAAAAGCACACCAATGCAAGTGGATAAATAGGTACCAACTGCCAGAAGCGGTTTAGTCATGCTGGCCACATGACCCGGAAAGCTGTCTGTGGACAAACACCAGCTCCCTTGGCCTGAAAGTGAGATGAGCGCCACAACCCCAGAGTCACCTTTGACTGGGCTTAACTGACTAGGGGTCCTTCACCTTCACCTTTTTACTTTTTACTACCAAGCGGTATATGCATTTTGTTAAATATAAATAAAATAAGCAAGTTTATCAGCTGATTGTCAGGACTTCCTTTTACTGTGTATTGTAAGAACTGAAGATCAGCTAGGCATTGCCTAGAAACTCCCTTTCAGCCTTGCCACATCCTTACCTGTTATTTTGTTTATATAGTGGGTAGATGGGCATGGCTTCACCAAAACGGCCTTGAAGGCCAAATGGGGAGACTTGGTGGGCCAAATTGTGTCCATGGGCCAAACTTTCCCACTGCTGATGTTGACAATAAAAAGCATGGAAAATAAAAATATATCACCCTGGGACACCAGAGCATAACACCAAGGAGAATTAGACAAATCAGTGGAGGACAAGACTATCAACAGCTATAAGCTATGATAGCTATGTTCTGCCTCCATTTCTGGAGCCACTATGCCACTGAAAACCAGTATCTGGGGACCACAAGTGGGGAGAGTTCTGTTGTACTCATGTCCTGCTTGCAGGCTTCCAGCAGGCATTTGACTGGCTACTGTGAGAACAGGATGCTGGACTAGATGGGCCATTGGTCTGATCCAGCAGACTCAACTTATGTTCTTAGGAGATGAGTAGAAATGGTGCCACCTTATAGAATCAGCCACCCAGAGAGCAGTAGAATCGCCTAGAAACTGTTAGCCAACCTCTAGCTTAGACCTGTCTAGAACGATACATGGTAGGTGGTGTCAAAAGTTGCTGAGAGACCCAGCAGGATTAACAGGATCATACAACACCCCTGTCTCTTTCCTAGCAAGGGTCATCTGATAGGGTGACCAGTGCAGTTTCTGCACGAAAACCAGCCCTGAACCTGATTGAAATGGAACCAGAAAATCAGTTTCATCCAAGAGTGTTGGATTTGGTCAGAAATGACCCACTTAAAATATCTTGCCCAGGAAGATAATGTTAGTTGCTGAAACCTTCCAGGTCCAGGCTTTTGCAAACAAACGAACAAACAAAAAACCTTCACATGAATTTGTCCTGGAATGGAATGGATTGGTTCGTGCTGCCCATCTTTTGTAAAATAGATGGCTTCAAGTTTTCATGGAGAATCTGTTGGAAAGCAGAATGGAAAAAGCCACAAAATTTTGCACAATCCATTCATGTGGTAATTTGACTTGGCATAAAGTACCATAGTAGACGCCAAAGGAGGTAGAGTTGACAACAACAACAACAAAAATATTTGGCTGATGTGGAAAATGGGGACTAGGGAATTGCACGTCAAGCAGATGTACAAATATCTGGGAAAGCAATGGCTGCTGATCTTGGAAATTAATCCCATAGACGGTCAGATAGCTTAGAAGAAAGGCTACTCACCCAGTATTGAAAACAGCTCGGATTCCATGTATTGCACACCTGATCTCATGGTGCCTTGAATGAGAGAAAGTGTACAATGCAAATGGGCTGGTCAAAATGAGAATGACAGCATCAGCATGAAACAAGTCAACCATGCTGCTGCTGCCTCCTTCCCAAGATGTGACACAGGGGCATTGTGGCAAGCTGTGGAAAGGGAAGGGCCCGCTCAGACTGAAGGCCAAACTAGAAATGCCTAGTGACAGAAGAGAGACAACTGTAAACCACACAAGCAAGTTGGAGTTAACTATTTATTAGCACAAACAGGATCTGCAAAAGAGGGTCATGCCTAATGAGCACAGCAAGTCATTTCCAGCAGGCATTGCCCCCATGAAGCAGGTGCTGAGATTGAAGGTCCCTGCCTCTCCACAGCTGCCCAAGTCCCCTCCTCCCCAGGGTTTCTCCCAAGCAATATGAGACTGCTCCTGTGTGGAGCTAGCTTCTCCTGTGCCCTCTTCATGCCTCTCTTGGTTCTAGGAGACCAGAGGAGAGGAGAGCTTGTTCCAGCCAGACTCATCTCTGCCTCTTGGCCTCCCTCCTCTCCTGCTTCAGTTTCTGCCTCTGAATCTGGACTGCTCTCTCCACAGACTCCACCTCCTCACTAAGTCCTGTTACCTCTTCAGCTTCCAATACCTCCTCCCAGTCTTCTCCCTCTGACCACTCATCATCATCCCACCACCAATCCCCTGGCTCTGAGCCTTCTTCCCTTGGGGGTTCCCCAGTAATATTAGGAGGAATAAAAGAGAAGAAAGGCAGAGGACTCTGTGTCCAGCTGAGCAAACTGGACTGCAATTTTGGGACTGACCCTAGGGTTCAACTCTGGATCATCTTCAGAGATGGGAATCTGGCCTCATGACTTGACTTCGAACCTTTCTCATTGCATCGGACCTGAATCTGTATTTGACCATTGGACTGTCCGACTCCTCTCTGGTGTTGCTCTTGGGACTGTATGTACTGTTGGGACTTGCCTCAGAGTACATCAGGGTTCAGTTCAATCTGCCAGACAGCTAGAAACTTTGTTAGCAGAAGTAACTCACTGAGAAAGCCCTGGTCTTAACATCTGCTGCTTCCACAGTCCATTCTAGGCCAAGACATTCAGTTGCAGAGCGGCAGCTGGATTGTTAGAGAACCAAGGGGGAAGCACAGCTTTACCAGAAACCATTGTACTACTGTCTGTTTTATTATATATTGAATATATCACGTCACCCTGAGAATATAAGAGAAACCTACTGGGTCAAGCCAGTGGCCCATCTAGTCTAGCATCCTGTTCTCACAGTGACCAACCTACAGACCATGCCTATAGGAACCCCACAAGCAGGACCTGAACACAAGAGCCATTTCCCCTCCTGTGGTTTACAGCAACTGGGATTCAGAAGCAAACTTTTTTTGGGGGGGGGGTTACAAATCTTCCAATATAAATAAATCAATAAATTGTTCTTAATGTCTTCTGGAAGCTTGAAAGTCTGCACGATGCTGACCAATGTCTCATATACATATAGCTTTGACCAAACTTTTCTCCACTGTTGAATATGTCTGGAGTAAAAATGTTGCCCGCTGTAACGGTAGTAGCTGGAACTAATTTATGGTTTATGAATTCAACATAAAAAAAATCAAGCCCATATCCATATGCTGCTATAATTAAGTCTGTCTTTTATGGTGGTGGGAAGGGGGAATCTATTTCTTTGAGTCCATGCAAGATCACAGCAGGGGGGTGTTACCCGAACCCATCTTTTGCATTAGCCTCCCACAAGAATCCTACTTTCCATTTGGTCAAGCTGTAATCCTTATTTCATAGTGTTGCTCAATGCTGTTAGTTGCCTTGGTACCATATGGGGGAAAGTAGGACAGAAACGCTGAGGAACAATGGCTCTGAGAGACCTCCACTCTAGTCCCACCTTGAAGCAATTTTGTCTTGTTCCAAGGTGGAACATGACTAGAGGTCTCTTGGGACATTTGTTTTGGAATATTTCTGTCCCACTTTCCCCTAGGTAAGTCACAGTACCTTGAGTGCACTCTATTTGCTCTATTTGCATGTATCACCATGATTTTCATTGGTCGCATACAGGTTCCTTACTCTTGGACAGACACAAACACAGACACACAGAGAGAGGGAGGGAGGGAGGCAGACAGGCCTCAGTTTACACACATTTATCTGTACAGTCTAGTTAGCTGTTTAGCTTCCCTTCATTGTATTTCAGAGGCTATATTCTTTCTCCCAGTTGCCTTTATATAATAGACCCAAAGCCCCAATTACCAATTTCCTTTCACTCCTAAAGCTTTTTCATGCCCTTTCTGAGAAACCGCTTGAGGAAAACAATTTGTTTTACTTGCTTGCATATTTTGTTTTACTCGATAAGAGTTTTTATTTTACTCTTTCCTTGAAAGATGGTTTAAATGTTGCGCTAATGGTTTGTGGATTTGGGGGGGAGAGTTAGGATGGCAGTCGGCAGCATTACTTATATGCCCACAAAATCAAAAGATTCTTATAACCTAATATAATATAATATAATATAATATAATATAATAATACGTAGTAGCCTTTTAGTGGAATTGTTTCCCCTTCTTAATAAATTCTGCTGCTTTTGGTGGGGCCGAACAAAAATCAGTATGATGAATTGTCTCTGTGTTGCAAAAGTAGCTTTCCCTGCTTTTAAAGTCGGGGAACCAGAGGAAGTTGAAAATCACATGGACAAATGTTGCTGTTGACAAAGTGCCACAATTGCCACCCCAGTGCAATTGTAGCATGGTGTGTTAATCTAGAGCAGGGCTGAGAAACCTGTGGCCCTCCAAATGTAGGACTACAACTCTCATCATCCCTAGCTAGCAGAAGCAGTAGTCAGGGATTGTGGGAGTTGTAGTCCAACAACTACTGGAGACCCAAGTCTGAGAAACACTCTAGGCTACCTAGTGGACAGGACGGAACTCTTTGGGGTGCTGCTGTTACTGCTACATTGCCACAATACCTCTTTGCCTTGTGGAAGCTGTGACCCATCTGTCGCTTACCAAAGATTTGCGCAGATTCAATGTAAAACTGGGAGAATCATTTTGGTGACACTCAGCTGTATATTGCCAAACTCTGGCACCCAGGTCTTTGGCCATAACCTTTTATGTGATTGCATATCAAAGCTTTTATCCCTTGCCCTCCACATTATGCAGTTATGGCTAGTGACATTTGGTACCAGCAACCCCAGAGTCATTCGTGACTGGATTTAACTGTCAGAGGTCCTTTACCTTTACCTTTACCTAGCTGAATTTTTAATTGGGGGGGGGGGAATATTTCCAAATCTGAAAGATCCAGATTTTGAACCCAGCATAGGAGCCAACTCCCTTTGCCCTCCCCCCTAAAATATTTGAGGGGATTGCCCCCTCCAACGTAGATGGGCATTGCCATTCAAATGGTGTGCATGTGCCATGTCTTGTGATTATGTGAGGTGGAACTTACCTGGGTCCTCCCAATATTTTATTCAAGTTGGCACGCCTGGAACCAACTTGACCATATGCTCTATGGTTCTTATGCATATTTTATTCAAAGGTAATACCCCGTTGACTTAAGTGAGCCGTGCTCTTCCTTGCTTCAGCTTTAGATTTATAGGATGGCCTGTTAATTAGATACTGTCAAAAGTTGATCGTTCTGTCTGTTTCTGATGTTCAGATTGTGAGTGCTATTGCTTATTCAGCCAAAAGCAGTGAACAGAAAGAGGGAGAAAGGAATAGGAGGCTGGGGTGTAGAAGTACAAAAAATATTGCCTGTGGGGCAGGGACTGAAGAGGAGGAACCAAAAATGACACAACTCAGTGCCAGTTATGAGGGATGGTGGTAGAAAGGATAACCAGGGAGAAAGAGGGTGAAATGGGAGAGACCAGCAATTTTTGACTCCACATCACAATGGACTGTTTTCTATTCCAGCTTCTCATTCATAAGAACCTTGTCGCAAGCAACAATGCCTGTGTTCACTTTCTCCCTCCTTCGTCCCAATATGTTTTCCTTTTGTGCTGTACGCCCTTTTAGATTGTGAATATGAAAGTAAAGTCCATCTTATGAAACTGCCCTGAGAGCCTCTTTTGCCTTAAAAGCAGAGTGAAAATGAATTTTAAAAAATAAAGGTAAGTGTGCACAGCATTGTAGCCTTAAAGTGCAAGGTTATGCATGTCTATTCAGAAATAAAATTCAGTTCCATAATTACTCCCAGAAAAGTGTGCACAGGATTGTGGTCTCAGTATATAAACATATCAGTGGGGCATTGTAGAGTTTGATAGAGGAATGTGGAAACTAGAGGAAAGATGCATATTCTGCACTTGCTTCCCAAAGACCTTAATTAAATCATCAAAGGGATGCATCCAGGCAAAGTTAAGCACTTTAAAGTTCCCTTCACTTCTCCTGGAAATATTTATGCAGCTACTTAACCAATGGAAATCGCTAGGGCCTGCCACCTGATCTGAACCATGCTTATAGTTTGTCCCACTGATGTTAATAGTTTCCACCTCCCAAATCAGTACGCTGAGGGTTGCCACAGGAACTTAACTATGGCTTGATTGCTCCCCAAATAAAGAAGTTGTTAAAAGATCCATCATGAAATGACTTCTGTTCAGGGAAAACACCTGACATCTTAAAAAAAAAAAAAAGATCATGGGGATGAAATAAACAGCAACTAGGCATTCTTGATTATTGAAGGGGGGGGTATACAGGTTTCTTGGGCATTGGCAAGGGCCAGCCATGAACCACATGAGTTCTAAGAATAGTGTGGCATGTACTGCAGCAATGACCTATAATAAACACCGTATTTCCAAAGGAAACTGCAGTTATTAAATGTTGTGCCAGAAGGGTCAGCTGGTATGCATAAAGATGAACTGGAGGCGGGGGGGGGAGGAATTGCTGTGAACATTCTGCTTCCTTGTTTCTTTGACACACACACAGAGAGAGACACAAACACGCACACGTAACCACTTATTCTCAGAAATGTGGACATCTTCACATTAGGTTTTTGTTTTGTTTTGTGTTTGAAAATATCACTTTCCCATGACCTTAAATAGCCTTCGCAGGTTTTAAACCAATTTAACAACAACATATTTTTCCACAGACTTGAAGATCGCCCTTCAGCATACTGCAGAGAAAGAGAAACATATGAGAAAACGGTGATATCCTCTCAGAGATGAAAATTAAATCTAAGATGTCTTGTGGGACAGCTGTGGGAATCTTGGTTTTTTGGGTAGTGGAGTGAGGAAAACCACTCAATCCTTAAATCTAGCAAGCAACATCATTTTGTCTAGTTCAGCCATAAAAGAATATGAATCCATGCTGCTGTTCAATTGTCTCAGTATTTCTTCTCTAACAGGTTGTTGAAGCACATGCACCACCTGAAGCCCACCTTTTCTTGGGCTGCCTATAAAATAATCACCTTCATTAATGCCATTACTAATGGCATCCAGATGTGAAGGATTCAGATAACGGGAGAAATTAAATTCACAGGCTCCACCCTCGATATTAAATTTTCTAAATTTTAGCAAAAGCATGTCTCTCCCCACACCACACTCCCACAGCCTTGTAGGCACAGCACTGGGGGGGGGGGGGGGCGGCATCACAAGGTGTCAGGATCGGGCTCCCTTTGCTGCCCCTGTAATTTGAGCATTAACTGTGAGTAGATCTGGATAGATAAACTGAGTAAACAAAGTAGTGCAGAAGTGGAGTTGAGTCAGGAACACGGTTATAGGGCAGAGGCAGAGGGGCAGCTGCTCTTCCAGGCTACTTTTTGAGGGCCACATGCCAATGGTTGGTGGGGCCAGAGGGAAAAGTGGGCAGGTCAATTGGTATAAATTTTACCTTGTACAATAGGCTACTTTCCACACCTGCCCACCTGCCCCTCTCTGTCCTTCATCCAAGTAAGCAAGGGGCTTTATCAGAGTTGAAGGACGCATTTCAGCCAGCTGAAAACACACAAGGAGGGTGTGAAGCAAGGCTGCTGAGGCAGGGAGCCTGGGGAGAGATCCAATGGACACACAGAGAAGCCTGAAGTGGGAAGTGTTTAATCCCTGGCCCTGAGATTAGCTACCCCTGCTATAGACAGACATGGAGGAGAGATCCAAGCAAGAAGGGCACACATGCCCTTGAATAGAGGAGAGAAGAGCCAAACCATCACTTCCCCAGAAGCTGCCTAAAACAGTAGCTTGAGGAACCATTCCTAAAAGTTGGGGGACTAGTTCCTAATTGGCAGCAGTGGCTTACAGCATTGCATGGTAAAAGAGGCCTTGGTACCCACTTTATGTCTCAAACCCCTCTGGTGCAGGATTGACATTGGTATAGAAGCCTATAATTTTAAAGAGATGTTCAAGGAACAAAGAGGAAGGATTCAAACTCTCAGTCTTTGCCACACATCCCCAAATATGTTTCACACCAGGATCTTGAGGTTCCCAGCCTGCTGATTTTTCAAGGTTCCAATTAAATGTAACATACAAAGGCTCGCATTTGCCTCCTGTCCCGCCATGGAATGTATGTCCTGGGGGCGGAAATAAGACATTGCCGACTCCTTGGGAAAGTACAAATTATATAAGAAGCTTTGTCTGACGGTGGCAAGATGACCGGACCTTTGAAGAACTATGATTCTTCTTTGAAAAGAGAAGAGTCGGAGGAATAGAAAGACACACAGAGCATCTGTTGGAACAGGGTGGCATTGGGGCACGAGCAAAGCCTTCATTCAAACCAAAACAAAAGGGAGGGTAAGAAACATGGAAAAGATAATACTAGGGTGCCTCTCTTTACAATCACTGTACTGTGTCTCAGATAGTTGGTGAAAAAGGCTAGCAAAGGAGGACTATATATTGTAAAATTCAAAAATATGCATTAATTTTGACTGCTACCATACAGTGCTATTCAATAATAATAATAATAAATTGATTCCCCACCCCCACAAGGTCATGATTCTTTGCTGTAAGATCATATGCATGATATATTTGGCACCTCAAAGCACTGGTTTCTTTAAAAACACACACACACACACAACAGAACACTGTCTCCTCACAGCTCCTGGCAACTTACACTTGAATATAGCCAAAGACAGGCCTTTGACCCTTCCTGAGAATCTGAATGAACAAAATCATTTTATTTGTTAGTCGAACCTCATGAAATTAGTTAAATCAACCGCTCATAAGATCAACCATAGTAAAACAAAAGCAGGGGTAGTGGGCGTATGCTCTGCTTCAGCTTCAACAGTTTTCCATATTTCATACATTGTGCAGGTTTGGAAGAGAAAAAATAATAAGGGTCACAAAGCCACCAGCTGCAGCCCAATCATACAAACCACTATTACTGAGGGAGGTTTTTGTTTTGTTTTGTTTTTTTAAGGAATGGGCATTGTGAATTAGATCCAAAGAGGGAAGAAGCTCTTGTCTGCCAAAGGAAGGAAAACTTTAGATACAGTACCACTAATTGGAGGGAAACCCCAGGAAAGAAACCCGCAAAATTTCAAAGTCTTGTTAATTCCAATGTCTCCTTAAATCAATGGAGATTTAAAATGCTTAACGTTGTTAGGATTGTACCCCAGGATTCCAGCACCATTGCAAGCTGACAACTTACAGTATGTCTTTACGCCCAAACATGTATTAAAGTCCTGCTAGACCTGATACAAATAAAGCTGATCCATTATACTACGTGGGAAGTTCCCAAGTTCTTTTTTTTTTTAAATATACTAATTATGTTTCCTTTCCTGTTTTCCTTTCCCTAGCTGGGGTCAATTTGCAACCCTAGGGCACCGTCCAGTCAAAGTCAAGAACTTTGAAAATAACTTCTATCAGTAGGAGAGTTAAACAATATGTTAAACAGTGCAATCCAGGCCCATTTACTTGGGAGTACATCACATTAAGTTCCCTGGGGGAAACTTACTTCCAAGTAACTGTACATAAGATTTCAGTTTCAACCTCTCCCATTTAAACAAAGTATTCAGACCCTCCAAGTGTCCCTATTTTCCAAGGACGTTCCTGATCTGGAAAGCCATCCCAGTTTCTGATTAGATCCCAAAATGTCCCAATTTTCCTTAGGATGTCCCTATTTTCATTGGAGAAATGTTGTAGGGTATGGAGTTATCCAGCCCCTGAGCCGTCTGAAAGCAATCCTGAATAGGGAAGTTTTTAAAAAAAAAATTAATGTTTTATTATGTTTTAATATATATATTGGAAGCTGCCCAGAGTGGCTGGGGCAACCCAGTAAGATGTGTGGGGTATTAATAGTAAAATTATCATTATGGAATGGGACATCCCTATTTTCTTCAGAGAAATTTGGAGGGGTATGAGTATTTCCAGCTACTTAACTTTGATGAGGTTATGTCTCTATATTTTCTGTTATTGCACTTACTGCAAGAGGAAAAAGAAATAATTGTAAGAGAAAATATGTCAATGAGTTGGTAGAGCACTAGAATCTTATTCTCGGGGTCATGGGTTTGAAAGGTGCCTATAGAGCTCCCTAAATAGCTTCAGGGTGTGCTACAGAGTGCTGGATGCTAACTAGATAGCCTTTTGCCATTTCGACTTAGAGCAATGCCACATCAGCTAGCGTTTCACATCTTCTTCTCGTTCTCACCTGGCTCTGCAAAAAAAAGGCTGGAAGGAAGAAACACCCACCCCACTGTCAGCAGATTCTGTATGTCGCACAATCAGAAAGAATGCTTTTTGGAAGCAAAGTTTATCAGTCCTTCTCCATGCTGCAAGTTTTGGGAAGTCAACACCCAAGCCTGACCTGACCCAGTCTGCAATGAAACTGCTTCCTGCCTGGCACATGCAAGAATTGAACCACCACCACCCAAGTGATCCAAATCAAACAGCTCCGAGAGAGGAGAGTCAATAGCATTATTATTATTTGTCAATCACATCATTTCTTTATAGTCTAGAAGCCAAACATTAGTTGACTTTATTACTCATGCTGAATGTCGATGGAAATAAAAACACAACCATAGCTATAAAAACAATCAAATGAAATAATATTATTCAAGATGGGTTTGTTTTGCCAATGACAGGAGTATTTAACACGGGGGGGGGGGCGAACCTGAGGACCTCCAGATGTTGCTGGACTGCAACTCCCATCATTCCTGGCCACTGGCCATGCTAGGTAACACTGATGGGAGTTGGACCAGTTGGAAATCCTAAACAGGCACTGCCAGTTAGACAGACAAAACTCAGTTAGATGGACTAATAATTTGACCAATATATACTAAGGCATCTTCCTATGTTCCTCATATCTGGAGGGTCACAGTTTCCACCTCTGATTCGAACCTGATATGTTATTCTACAGCATCTCCACAACAACCTGGGCAAGGAGGGACAAAGAAACACGTGTATCTGTTTAGTGACCAAAACACCTATGGGCAAATGTGCCACAAGTCACAAATGTTAGAAAGTTCCACTCTGATCAGGGCCAGCATTTCTCATTTGAAGTGTGCCCCACTCTCTGCTTATACTAACCTCATCAGGTACAGGGCTCTTCTTGGCCCTAAGCATCAAATAATACTAATCAAATAAATAATTGCTAACTTGTGTATCGAGGCCCCATGACCACCCTGTAAATAATCAGACACCACACAGGATATTGGTTTGGGATCAAATAAGGCCACAACTTTATTGGTTACA